GAAACGTAGCATGCATGCACAGGGCCTCCTCACAGGTCATCCTTCTTCCTTCTGATTTAGGATTCTTACGCTATAGTATCTCTCACAGGTCATACTCACTTGTGTTGCACTGGTATCAAGGGAATCACTATTCATAAGGCAATTTTGCAGAGAGTCGGACATGACTGAAGAAACGTAGCATGCATGCACAGGGCCTCCTCACAGGTCATCCTTCTTCCTTCTGATTTAGGATTCTTACGCTATAGTATCTCTCACAGGTCATACTCACTTGTGTTGCACTGGTGTCAAGGGAATCACTATTCATAAGGCAATTTATTCTATTAAGCCCCTCAGGTTTCAGTAAAGTTTCTCTTACATTTAGCTGAGATCAATATCCCTGTAGTGTCCCCATTTGACTTTAGAATTATTTGCAAATCTCAAGGTCTTTTAGAAGTTGATGTATTGAGTACAAATACTATTATCTATTACTTGAATAAGTGTTTTAAAGGGAAAGTGAGCCATATTAAGAAGTATGTGCTGAATGAATGTGGCAGGAGAGGGGTGTTATAGCCACCAGTAAGAGGCCTCTATGTGGCTTCCTGGGTGGCGCTAGTGGCAAAGAACCTGCCTGATAACACAGGTAGACACAAGAGACCTGGGTTTGATCCCTGGGTTGGGGAGATCCCCTGGAGTAGGAAATGGCACCTCACTCCAGTGTTCTTGTCTGGGAAATTCCATGTACAGCGGAGCCTGGTGGGCTACATACAGTTCATGGGGTGGGAAAGAGTAGGACAGGAGAGTGGGCTTGTCAAGAGAGCAGTAAACTGTAGGGGGAGCTACACTCCAGACAGCTTCGGTTCATCTCCTTCTAAGCCTAGCTGAAGCAACTCAACCACTGCTGGTTGAGAATTACAAAGATGCTAGTTGATTTTGCAAAATTTTTGAATTTAAAAAGAACCTGACGAGCCCACATGTTCCGTCTACTAAAGTCCGCTGCACTCTAGCGTCTGGGGGCTGCAACTACTGAGCCTGCACACCTACAGCCTATGCTCCACAACAAGAGAAGTCAGTGCAATGAGAAGCCTGAACGACACAACGAACAGGAGTCCCTGCTCACTGAAACCAGAGAAAAGCCCATGTAGCAAGGAACACCCAGTGAAGCCATAGATAAATGAATAAATATTTTTAAAAAAAGAGACCTTGAAGATCATCTTCCCTAAACTCTCTAATTTGCCAGCTGTTCATCTGCTTCCCTGGTGACTCAGATGATGAAGAATCCGAGTGCAATTCGGGAGACCCGGGCTCGATCCCTGAGTTGGGAAGATCCCCTGGAGGAGGGCATGGCAACCCACTCCAGTATTCTTGCCTGGAGAATCCCCACAGACAGAGGAGCCTGATGGGCTGAAGTCCATGGGGTTGCAAAGAGTCGCAAACACCTAAGCAACTAATCACACAGAACACACATACACATCTGCCTTTTCAGCTCTCCAGCTAGGCACTGGGTGGCAATCTTGAATGCAAATTAGAAATGCCTGAGATGTTTGCAGTAGCCTTCACTCCCTGAGATTCTAACTTTAATGAATCTGGGAGTGGAACCTGTACAAGAGAATTTTTAAATGCTCCCTGAGTGAGAAGGTTGAGAATTACTGAGTTGGAACCACAAAGATGAATTGCACATGTGCACTTGGTAAAAAGGAACAAAAGGAGATGAGAGATCTGGGCCAGTTTCAGTGTTTCTGTTTCCAGTTCTAACCAGTTAATTTTATTTTCTATTTATTTTTTTAAGGCTTTTTAAAAATCCTTTTTAAAGTCTTTATTGAATTTGTTACAATATTCCTTCTGTTTCATGTTTTGATTTGTAGACCACGAGACATGTGGGATCTTGGCTCCCTGACCAGGTATCAAACTCGCACCCCCTACACTGGAAGGCAGGACCATCAGGGGAAGTCCATAACCAGTCAACTTTAAAAGTTCTAATAAGCCAGGAGTGAAAAGACAAATGTTAGATGAGTCCTCACGTATAAAGTGCTTAGAGTAGTCAAATTCATAGAGACAGAAAGTAGAATGCTGTTTTACCAGGGGCTGGGAGGAGGGTCAACAGGGAGCTGCTTAACAGAATTTTAGTTTTGCAAAATTAAAATGAGTTCTGGGGATGGGTTACACAATATGAGTGTGCGGTAAATGTTATGTATATATTACCTCAATTTAAATCTTCACATTGAGGTATAACTGACATAAAACATTGAATTAGTTTCATATAATGTATTACCTTGTATGTTTTTTAATACAGAAGCTATATGTATATTTCATATAATGATCTCATATTTTTATATATTGTGAAGTGATCACCACAGTAAGTCTAGCTAATATCTGTCAGCATACATGATTACAACTTTTTTTTCTTGTGATGAGAATTGTTTTTAAAGATTTTTTTTATATGGATCATTTTCAAAGTCTTAATTAAATTTGTAAAAATATTGCTTCCATTTTATGTTTTGGTATTTTGACCACTAGGCATGTGGGATCTTAGCTCCCCAATCAGGGATCAAACCCAAATTTCCTGCATTGAATGGTGAACTCTTAACCACTGGACCACCAGGGAAGTCCAGTGATGAAAACTTTTAAGATCCATTCTCTTAGCAACTTTCAAATATGCAATACAGTATTAAATATAGCTACTATGTTGTATATTACATCCTAATGCATAATTTTAAAATGTTTAAAATATTTTTTTAATGAAAACAACTTCTCTACAATTAGTGAGATGTGCATAAGAAAGAATTCAATAGACAGAGCTCCAGTAATCCTAGACCCTTTGGAATAATGTTTTTCTGACTTTATTTAATCTTTTAAGTTTAACCTGAAATGGCCATCCTGAATTTTTTCCATTATTACTGCTGAAATACATACAGTGAGCTTTGTCCTTTTATACACATTTGAGAGAACTGACACTTTCCCGTTTCTTCATGAGTCCTCCTCAGATTTACAGGCCCTGGGCTTCTGGGAGAAGCAAGAATGATATTGCTTTGTGGCTTCTTTGAGTCAGAATGCACTGGCAAAGCTGAGAAACATTTTGAGGGATACCAGAATCCCAGGGATGGCGGAGCCTGGTGGGCTGCCGTCTATGGAGTCGTACAGAATCGGACACGACTGAAACGACTTAGCAGCAGCAGCAGCAGGAGCAGCAGTATTAGAATGAACAGTTCTTCCCAGTTTGTATGAGACTTTCCCAATTTTAGCATCAAAGACCCATATCACAGGACCCTCTCAGCTCTATGCAAACTGGGACAACTGGTCATCCTACCAGTAGTCTTAAATCTTAGGGAACATAAATTTAGAAAAAAAAGGAAAAGTAGAGGAAAGAAAACAGTAGAAAAAGAGGAAGAGAGAACACAGTGGAAAAAAGAGTAAGGAAGTATTGATGATGTGTATGACTTTTGCTCATACACATTATCAGTGGTTATTATGGATTTCTGATTCTTGCTTTCAGTTTATTATGATTATCACCATCATTATATAGTACAAACTAATACTTGTAAATACACATATATGACACTGTGCTAGTGTATTTATAAGCACTAAGTCATTTCTTTCCAAATATAGTTGTATACCACATAAATGTTATTATTATCCCACTGAAGATTTGTGTTTTCTCAGGTCTAAAAGAAAGTTGCCTTGACTTTTCTAACAGGATAAATTTTTGGAGTATTAAAGGTAGCTCTTCACCTGGAGAAAATCAGGATAAATGCAGTTAAGTGTGAGCTGGTTGCTCTATTTTCAGAAAAGGAGTATGATCAAAACCTTTCAGGGAATGGGGTCTCCTGGAGACACTGCCCTCAGTAGGGTGAGCAGAGACCAGCTCAATTGTTCCGGAAAAGAAATGTAAGAGAAGATCCTTTGTGCCTGAAGAATTGACTAGGAGGGACCGCCTCCTCTGGGGAGAGAAAGGAAATAGTTCTGAATCTACAAGGGGAAGAGCCTACCCAAATCTGAGGAGACTTAGGGAATAAGCCATCCAAAGTACCCTGCTCTAAGAACCCCATGCAAGGTGTCCACTAAGCTGGACCTGAACAGTAGGTCATCCTCCTGGAGGATCAGCGGCAGCCCACCAGGAATCTGGATCTGTATGAGCTGGGTAGGATGCTGTCAACAGTGACACCAAGTGGCAGTGAGAAGCAATGGCAGGAGCAGGCTAGGCTCTCTAAGGTGGACCAAAGAGCCGGAAAGACCCTTCCTCCCTCCCGTTTAGGATTCACTGTTCCATGGAGCTCTGGGCTCATGAGGTGGGGTTAGCACGTGACAGCTACAGACCTGATGAAGCTATGTCAAGGCACTGAAGTGGGTAAAGATTCCTGGATGACATAACTCTATACTCCTTTCTCGAACCTGTTTTCTAACTTACTTCCCCAAGGGCTCAATTCAGAAAAGTGGATAATTGCTATTACTCACATGATGAGAGAGCAGTGCCTACTAATTAGAAAAATGGAAGCAGAGATCATTTGGAGGGCTGCTGTTGTACAAATTCAAACAAAGCATTTCCCAGCTCCCCCGGAAGCCTTTCTGGACCCTGAGTTAGGTATTCTCCCAAGGGTCTTTGCGTCCCCATTCACAGGACTGTGCTTTGCTGTTGACAAGCTCTAGCTTCTAGTGGCAGGGACAGGGCTTTGTTCACCAGTGTATCCCCACTGCTTTGTGTGTATTAAAACCAAAGGATTATTTTATACCTAATCCACAACTCAGACTCAGGGAAGGTCTGGGAAGAATGAGACTATTTTCACTTTGATGCCTGCTGTATTCTTTCTAGGTGGTGTTTTCAATTTGGGGAAGGCTGTGGCCCTCTATCTGGAAGTCTGAACTTTAGTTTTGAAGGCAAGCCAAAAATGCTACTTCCTGAACTACTGCGCCACCTGCCCTGGGCTGGCTGGTTATGCTATGAACATTCTTTTCTTAGAAATTTTACTCAAAAGGCAACTATGTGACTTAATAAAAACTTTCACACACAGAAGAAAACTACTTTCAGATAACATAAAATCACTTTTATTTTTATCATATCCAACACTTCAATGACCCATACATAACTGATTTGGGAGAAAAGATTGGTTTTAGAAATCTTTGGGTCTTCTCTAAGGGTTGAATATAATCTTTACAATGAACAGAAAAGGAAGCTCAATCATATGGTGAACACTGTCATATGAGGAGTCCTCCTGAAGCTTAAAGGAAAGTTTGCAGACATATAAAAATATATACTTATATATGGAAAAGGAGAATAAACATTGGGATTCTAACCTAAGAGCTTGTACAGGTAAAAAAATATGTTTAATATGAACTCAGATGATTTACTCTATAATGGATTTCTAAAGAGTAATTCAGAGATGTTTAGAGCCCAATTTCAAGGAAGAACTCTACCTTCCACTTCAGGGACAGAACACTGGGCTAGGAGAGCTGCTTGTCTGACCCAATGTGGAATTTCTTATGATCTGTATACTCTTCTCGGGCACACAACAGATGGTTAGGGAGTTGAAGCCTAACTAGCCACTGAGCCTTAATGATGTTACCAAGCTCAGCTCTGGAGCCAGTATTCCAGAATTCCCCATTAGCGGAGCCCAGAATGTGTAATATGTAGGCGGGAACTGGCTTTTGATTCTTAGCCCTTTGCTGGGTACTGGCTACCTTCAAACTCTGGTCCCTAGACTAAGAAATTGGTTCCCATTTAGTCATGAGGAAACCATGAGAAATGCACTGTATTTCAGAGATATTTCTGGCTATCTCTTCCATCTGATGTTTGGGAGCAAAGGGCAGTGGAAATGGGGATGGCAAGGCACTTCTGAATCTGAGAGTGGAGTGATGAAGAACACACAAGGAGCAAAAGGCCCGCTCACTAGTTGAACACTGGGACTGGATTCTTACAGGAGTTGGGCTTGTGGCTGGATTGGATCCACAGGATATGAGGGCCAGAAATACTGCTTTATGGGACCATAGAACAGAAGATATCGTCTCCCTTTCTCTTCCACTTCCTCCTTCCCTCCCTTAGGAAACCCCAGTGGTAGAGGTTGCCTTCAACCAAGTAACTTTCTAATTAACAATTATGTTTATTGTGCTTTCCTGCTTGTTGAACAGCAAACTGGCTTTCCTCTTCTTTGTTCTTCTCCTTCTGCCTGTAGGGCAATTTCCTCCTCTCCTTTTTGCAGGACCGATAGTTTAGATACAGTGCTATGGTGATCACCATCACGCCCGCTCCAAGGGCGACAATAATAATCACCAAGATGGTGGAACTGACTCCTTCATCCAGGCCTGCCGAAGCACAGAAGACAAGAGAACTGGGAGGGTTAGCAGGCAGGAGAATCACCCTACCCCAGCCCACCAGGCTTATGTGTCGGCCTCCCCCTCCCCAGCCCACCGAGCTCTTCCTGGTCTCCCCTGAGGGATTTCCACCGTGGGCCTGGCCGCAGGGGAGCCACAGTCACCTTCAACAAGGATCGCAACGTCTTTGCTGGCAGAGCCCAGCTGGTTGGTGGCTGTGCAGCAGTAGGTTCTAGAGAGGTTCTGGGTTGCCTTCTGTGGCACTTCAAGGTCAAAGACTGTGCCGTTCCAGGTACACATCAAGACCGGTGTCGGGTTTCCCTTTGGGACACAGGCAAGCATCTGCTCCATCCCTTCTAGCCAGGTCTGGTTGCCAGGGCAACCAGATTCCTCAAAGTGTGGCTTGTCTGGAAAGAGAGAGTCCCCAGAGGAGTCAGTTCAGTAAGCCACGTTTCCTCATGACCGTCATGCACTAGCTCCCTCTCCCTCCCCAACCCAGATGATGTGTCCCCTTCACCCAACAGCTTCTTTCCCAAGGGGAGGACCATTGGTTCCCTGCTTTGAACTACACTTTTTCCTCCTTGGATGAATCTGAGATGCAACAGGGCATTTTAATGGGTTAATACTAAATGAGCTTTCTCAGTGGTGGTCTTGGGGTCCCTGCTCCTCATCTTTGCTTTTCTGTGAGGGATATCATGGGTACGGGTGAACCCAGAGACAAGGATTTTTCTACTTTTCAAAATACAAGTTTTCATGAAGAAATTACCCTCCTCAGCATAGGTTTCAGCTGTTTTTACTCCCTATGTTCTCAGCCTTTGGCCCTCAGCCTGATCACCTTCTCTTTTGTTCCAGTTTCCCCCAGGTTTCTCCCTACTCACTTTCCCATGGGTAAGGTAAGCTTGCAGAGCTTTACTTTTTATTTTTTCCTTTGATTTTCTTTTTTAATGAGAAAAGTGTGGCAACTCTAACAATGAAGCTATTGACTAAGATCTCTGGAAATGTGAGACTAACAATCCATGTTTTGACAAGAAAGATCAGGCTTCTACTCACACAAGACATGGAGTTGGATCACAGTGGTTTTGCTCAACTGCTGACCCTGAACCTCCAAAGAGGCCTCACAGGATAAATTCCGGCCATCATCTTCCTCACTGGCGGTAAGTGAAAGCCAGGCAGGCTCCCCAGGCGCAGGAAGATCTGGGGCTCCCTGAAGCCGCAGAGTAGGGCTGGGGGATGTTAAAATATGCCCCGAGCAGGTCACATTAATTTCTGTCCCTGCCAATGGGTTCATTTCTTCTATCTCCAGGATTGGTGGAGGGAAGTCTGTAAGGAAAGGAAAAAGAGAATCAAAACATATTTCTCAAAACTGGCAGCAACTTCTGTACTCAGCTGCTGGTGGTACCCCTCGGGTAGGCAGACAAGAAGGGAAAGGCTATGGATACCATTACTGCTTCTATGCTGACTGGCAGGAGCAATGAGATGGTTTTGGAAATTTGAGAGCTTCTCCATAACAAATGCCACATGAGCCTATTTGGCTGTGCCTTTGTGGCAAGGAGAACAAGATGTCTTTTTATCTTACAGATTTCTTTCTCACCTCAAATCACTGTACCAAGGAATAAGTTCAAGCATCCATAATCACTCTGTCAGTAGAATGGTCTAAGGAAACAGAGTGAAGGCTGGATAGAACTACTGCCTCAATGCATCCCTGCACTTATCTGAGAAAGATGAAGACCAGTGTTCACTTTGGAGTATACTAAACAAAGGTTCATGGGGATACCTGCAGTTGAATAACCAAGCCTTTACTATGGAAGTTTTCAATGGCAGAGAGAACCTTCAAGGGAAGGGAAGAGGCAAGTCACTTACTATAGACATGCACTGGCTGGCTTGTTCTCTGTTCCATTGGACCCAGAGATGTAAGGCAAGACAGCTCCTGATCACCAATCTCCATGGCCCGAACGGTGGCATTGGCCCATATTGTGTCTCCTTCCCAGAAGAGAAAGGGGCTAAGCTCCTGGTCTCCCAGGAACATGTGGATCATCACCTCTTCAGCTGGGAACACCCTAGCCACCTCGCAGCTCACCGTTTCTGCCATCCCAACCTCCAGAAGTGAAGAGACCCAGATTTTGGGGCTCTGAGAAAATTCTGCCAAGAAATGAGGAGAAGGGAAGAAAGGAGAAAGGCCATGATAAATCGTATAGGACCCCACAATGTAGGGAGTGGGGCTAAAAGCTCTCTGTTCCCCACAATGAGTTTAAAACTCAAGGAGCTCAAATACCCTTCCACCTGCATCCTAAACCCTATGGGAAATGAGTCCTAAAGGCCACGGTAAGATGAGGAAAATGAGCCTCAGGGTTCCCTCCACACCTGGGCTCTGACTCACCAAAGATTCGGAGTACCTGGAGGGCTGAGTTGCTGTGAAAGAGCCCCCCACCGTGTGAATTCAGGTCCAGTTCTGCATGGCAGGAGAAATTGCACCTGTCATCCTCCCTTTGGGCTTTGACATTGATGGTGACCTCAGCTCTCTGGGAAGCCATAGCTAAGCTCCTAAAATTCTTCCGGTGTAGTTCTTGGTTATTCTGGAGAAGGATAAGGGTGAGGTTCTCCAGGGGTGTGACACTGGGCACATGACATGTCACTGTGAAAGCTTCATCCACGGCCACCCACGCAGGCTGCAGCTCCACGATCACTTGCTCTGGTGGCTCTTTAAGACAAAGAGGTAGGTTTGATGAGAGAAGGATACTCACCTCTCCAGAGAGAAAGAGTAAGAGGACAGGAAGCCTGTGATAGAAGGTAGGACTGCTACTCTTAAACCATCTGATGAATAGCATCAGCTCTCTGCCCTGGATGAGATGAGTTAGGCTTCTTCCTATCGAAGGGAGCTAAAGTCATAGCCAAGACAGGTGACCGCTGAGAGGCCCCTTGCGTTGACTGCCATTTTGGAGAGCCCCTTTGCTTTGGAGGGGCCCCTTTGCTGCCATTCTGGAGAGCCTTTCTCTCTTACCAGAAGTGAGCAGCATCTGAGAAGCTCCTGAGCATCACATGAAAATTCCACCACAGCTAACCAAGCTCCAACCCCAGAGGCCACACTCATGGTTACATCTTTGCTGATGCTATTTGCTCACCTGAAAGATTCTCCTTACCCATCCCCATCACTTCAAATCCTAACCATATGCAGGGGTGAAGTTTAAGAGCCTCCTTTTCTGTGGAGACTTCTCCAACTACCCCAGCCTACCAAAACCCTCTTTTCTCTAATCCCTATTTATTCTAAGAATTTGTGACAATTCAACACTAATTTTACACTTTTTTTGGGTAATTTACAAATCAGCATCATTAGCATATGCCTCCTGTATCTGAACATATTCTCAAGCCCAGATGCCAGGATGCACTCTACGGTCTGCTCCTAATTTAAAAGCCTACACCAAAGGGAAACAGAAACAATTGGCTCGAGAATCCCTATAGTATGACAAAAATCTTTAGTAAAGGCCCCAATTCTCTGCCCTAAAAGAAATTCTCTAACTATTCCCTATATAAGGCATAGTAGTCATGTTCCCCCACACTTCCCTTCCTCCCCAGCCCTCAGCTCTACTCACGGTACACAGTGATGGCAAGGTTTATGTCCTTTTGGATCCCTGCACAAGAGAAGAAGCACAGCAGGATGGAATTCTGTGTGACATCTTCCAGCAGAAACTCCTTCCACTGAGGCCCGTTGCCCACCTGAGTTTTCTTTAATAAGGTTTCAATTCCACCGGGTCCTGGGTCTGGACAGCTAGTGCTGCAGTTGACCATAAGGGACTGTCCATACTTTACAAGGGCCTGATCTGGCCAAACAGAAACCTCAAATCGCTCTTCTGCAGCTCCTGAAAAGGTCAACCAGACATGCCAAAGTCTCTGGTGAGGCCCACAAGACTTAAAGAGAATACAGAGCCTAGTCTATCTATTTAAAGGTTAGAGAATAGGAAAGCCACTCTGAATAAACAGGAACAGGGGGCAGGACAAGAAAAGGGCCCTGAAAGAACAAGTCAGAATCCTGACTCTACCACCATTCCCCCTTCTTGTCATCTTTTGGGTATTGATTTCTCCATTAATGTCCCTATGGAAACTATGGCATTGCTAAAAATCATGCCCACAGAAGCTAAAGAAACCTTCCCAAAGAGCCTCACCTGGGTAATGGATCAAGGCCAACAGGGCCCAGACACCAAACAGTAGCATTTCCATCCTTATGAGAAGGGCCAAAAGCTGGAGAGGAAGAAAGAAGGCAGCAATGCTGGAGAAAGTGACCAAATAAAGAGGAAAAGGAAGTAGGAAATTCTTTCTTTCATACTGTTAAAAGTTACCTCCTTTCCTGAAAACCTACATGGTCTGGAGAAACTGCAGCAAGCGTATCAATGCTGTGGTTGTATTAAAAGAAATTCTTTCATCTATCTATTTGAGTTTGGTTTATGTGCACAGCAAAAAGACAACAGGAAAATATGGGAAATAATGAAGGGGTATTAGGTTAAGTGAGAATCCTGTATCAGTTTGTATTGCACTTATCTGTTTACATGTTTGCTTCTATTTGAGTCAATAGAAAATGGCTGTCAGCATGGAAATATGAAAAATGAGGTTTAGAGAGATGAAATTTGGCAGTGTTTATCTGGCACTGTCCAGTGGAAAGTGACCCTAAATCAAGAAAACATGTTCACTAGAGTCTTGTTCTCTTATGGGAGAAATGTTTCATCAGGCTTCATGAAATATCCCTCAAAATAATCCATCTTTCTGATCTGCCTCCAGGCTCACCAAGCAACACTTGGATTACACTTTGGCTAAGTCAAGTCTTAAATGTCCACTTCTTTTCTCTGCCAATCTATACCAAGTGTTCCTTTCAAAATCCAATTCAAGCTAATTTCTTCTAAGAAAGGAATTTCTTGACTAATGCTATTTCACTTCATAATCCCTTATTACACATTATCTGTACACTTGATTCCAAAAGTGATTTCTGAAGCTATCTACCTTAAAATGTAATTCACCTCAGTGGGTTATTTTAATGATGTAATCATAACTGTACTAGGAATTCCTTAAGAACAAAAGATCATTTTATTACCTTGCCTCTGCAGCACCTAGCACAGTATCTAGCACATCATGCATATTCCATAAATGAATGACAGCCCTATAATTCTGCATTTTTTCATACATTAGGTTTTGTACAAGACTACTATTACCTGTATGCTGGTCTGAAAGAGGGGTTTTTTGGGTCTCTTTTATTCACACATAAAACAATAGGCATATCAAAATTTACCCTCCCAAGTAAACATTATCATTCAAAATAATCACTTCTGCAGGCTATAAATTTAATCCAATAATTATTCAAATTTTTTTTGGAAAGTGATCTAGAACTGGCTTTTAAGCTACATAAGAAAAATCAGTCTCTTTATTAAGCTATTCTATTATTCTTTGTGCAAAAGTGATATTCACTCATCTTATTCCCCAAACTTAACTTTGAGTGACTTAACGTCTCTTTCAAAGGAAGATCTCCTATCATGGAAGAGATAATAATGTAACATCAGACTGTGAAGGAAATCTCAAAACAAGAGTTTTGAGTAATAACAGCTCTGTGAAAAAAGTACAAAATCCCCAATTGGGGCTACTTATATTCATATTCATACATTCTTTCTGCAAACAATTATTGAGCCAGGCTTGTAGTAAGGTGTTGAAGTTACCAAGATTTATCCTATTACATAAGAATTCCTGGGAGTTAGTGGGAAAGACAAATGTAAATACAAATAACAATATACTCTGCTGAGCGCTATTGGGAGGGAGTACAATAGGCAGGTACTCCAGCCACTAAAAAGGCTGCAAGGAGAATGGTGGGCAGGATTTCCCTGGTCCAGTGGTTAGTACTCCGCCCTTCCAGTGCAGAGTTTCAGGGATGTTGGATGGCTTTGGCTGTGTAGCTGAACTGGACTTCCCGCCCAAGTTTGGGATGCTCACGATCCATTTATATCCCAAGGGTATTTGCAGTTTATTATACAGATTGAGTCACATCCTACTCTTTGATCACTCTCCCTTGCCTCTGCCTGGAATTTACTTCTTCCTCTCTGAACACTGCTTCACCCAGTTCAATGTATCTTTGCAACAAGGCTGTATCCCAGCACACTCTCGGATGATTTGGCTGCTATCTTCTCCCTCAGCAGCACCACCTTCTAACACACTCCTCCTCATCCGTTAGGCCTGGGAGTCCGGTCTACTTCCAGCCTGGACTGTAAGGCCCCTCTGAGGGCAGGGCCTTTTTCACTGATGGATCCCAACCACCCAGAACGGTTACGTCTGTAACCGACTATAAAATGAGTGAATGAACTAAATAAAATATTGACAAATATATGAGTGAGGGGCTGTGCCCATCGTTTAGATACAGAGTATAAAGGTCAGCTCTGCCTCAGATGGAGTTTCCCGAGAAGCGTGTGCACTGCCCCACAGGCCCTGAAGGCCTTTAAAAGCATATCGTATTTTAAAATTTTAACTATGTGGGAAACATACTTCAGTGAATGCTCCTCAACGATTCCCGGGTGTGAGGAGGCAAAGCCCGCCAAGAGGTCAGACCCCCACAGACTTGACAAGAAAGCCGGGAGGAGACTCCGACAGGAATCTAAACGAAGAAAACAAGACCTAAAATCTCACTGAGGGTCGCTCCTCACGGCTTCAACCACTCCTCTATCCACTCCGCGGCTTCGCCGGCTACGCCTTCAAGAGTCGGCCACGCGCTGAGACCGTTTGGTAGGCACAGCCGGGAGGGGGCGCAAGAAGACTCTCCTAGCCGGACGATTTGCCTATTCTGCCTAGAAACTCGTGACGTTTGCGCAAAAGCTTAGAGAGGGTTGGCTGAGGCAAGGGGGGAGGGCGGGAAGTTAAGACGACCGGAGGGGGTTACGGAAAAGATGAGTGGGGTTGCTTGTATTCTGCTTGGCAGAGAGCACATATTTGACTCAAGGTAATCCTTACTGTATAAAACAACGTGAAAACAAAAGGTAAGCGGTTGTTGTAGCAAGTAATGGCCCTATAAGGAAAACAAGGGACTGTAGGCACCCCTGCCTGTTCGAGGGGTGGTGCGGCCTGAACAGGTGAGACTTCCCCGCAGGAGTGGGCTGCGCGCGCAGCTTTGTTCCCGCCTTGGGCCTCAGTGCGGGCTTGGCGTTGTGTTCAAGTTAGTGACTCGCACGAAGCCCAACAGGGACTCTTCCCAGCTCTTCCTGGGTGGCCTGGGAAACGGATGCCCTGCCACTGCCGGCCCCGTTTCTGTAGCCCACTCCACACACAGAAGTAACACGCATGAGAGAACTACTGGTTTAGGCCTCACTTCCTACCCAAATGTGCGTGCGCCCTTGATTCCCACCCTGCACCAGTCAGGTCCTATCAATAAGCCATAAAAACTGGGGTGAGCTTATTAAATCTTTGTTGCCTCTTTCCACCTTGTGTCAACTTCCACGTGGAACGTCTCCGGAGGGTCTTGCCTCAAAACCCTTTCCCTGAGCCGAAATTAGGCCATTTGCTCCGACATCCTTTTGCTCTGGCTCCCCTGTAATCGCTGGTCTGATCCTAAGCCATGGGCTGAGTTTCTTGATGGAGTGAAATGAGAAGGTTTGGAAGGGTTTTTCGAGTGCTTACTTCTCTAGTACCCTAGTACCACTACCTCCTCTCTTTCCCTACTCACAGTTTCAGGGAGAATGTTGGATAGAATAGAAGCTTTGAGGCTAAACAATTTTGTCCATGAATGTCTTACTGGCTTTAGGACTATGGGAAATGTAGGTAACTTACAGTGTCCTCCTCTGCCAACAGGAATGGCATTAGTTTGTTTATATTAAAGTGCCTACCATTGTTTTTGACACTAAACATAGGTGTGCAATAAATGGTCATCAGTTTTTTCCTTTTCCAGTCTCAAAAAGGCTTTTCCTTATTACTCTAAAACTGCCGAGCTTTATTTTCTTTATAGCACTTACCACTACCTGACTTTGAGCTAAATATCCAGCAGCCAACTTAAATGGGTGAGCTGTTCTCTTCCCAAGTCTGCATTTAGTGATGTTGGTTGGTTACCTGAAAACCAAAAACTCTTTAATTGAAGCATAGTTGATTTACAATGTGTTAGTTTCTGGATATGTTCATATTTGTGTATATAGAATAAACTATGTATATTCTTTTTCATATTCTTTTCCATTATGGTTTATTATAATGGTGGAAGTATATATATATGTATATATAAGTATATATAATATATGTCACTGAAATTGTTAGAGGTTACAGATTAGGGTTTGATTATTTTTTTCTGAGAAATGGTTGGTAAACATTAGGACACCACCATATATATCTGTTTACCTATTTATTATTTTCTCTCTAGAATCTTTTTTTATAATTTATTTGTTTGTGCTGGGTCTTTACTGCTGCACCAGGGCTTTCTCCAGTTGCAATGAGCGGGGGCTACTCTTCATTGTGCACGGGCTTCTCATTTCAGAGCACGGGCTCTCAGGCACACAGGCTTCATTAGTTGTGGTGCTTGGGCTCAGTAGTTGTGACTTGAGGGCTCTAGAGAGCGGGCTCAGTAGTTGTGGCACACTGGCTTAGTTTCTCCGTGGCATGTGGAATCTTTGTAGGATCTTCCCTGACCAAGGATCAAACCCGTGTCCCCTGCATTAGCAAGTGAATTCTTGTCCACTGTCAGCTCAGTCGTGTCCAATGCCTTGCGACCCCATGAATCACAGCACGCCAGGCCTCCCTGTCCATCACCAACTCCCGAAGTCTACCCAAAACCATGTCCATTGAGTCAGTGATGCCATCCAGCCATCTCATCCTCTGTCGTCCCCTTCTCCTCCTGCCCCCAATCCCTCCCAGCATCAGGGTCTTTTCCAATGAGTCAACTCTTCGCATGAGGTGGCCAAAGTATTGGAGTTCCAGCTTCAACATCAGTCCTTCCAATGAACACCCAGGCCTGACCACCAAGGAATTCCTCTCTCGAGAATCTTGTGTCAAAACATGAGGGCATGATTGTCATCTATCTTATTTACTGCTGTCACCTTAGCACCCATAACAATGGTTGCACATAACATGCACTAAATAAATACTTAGTAAGTGAGTGAGCTAGGAGTCTGTGAAGAGTCGTGATTTCATACCTTAATTTTCTTTGTGGGGAGGTGTGACGTAACTCGTTCATAAGACTTCTAGTTTTATGACGCCTGACTCTTTGACTGCTTTCCATTTTCCTTCTGCTTCTTAATCCGTTGTTGCCAAAGCTAGGGGCGAGGATGAGAATCTGGATCTGTCTAGAAAAGATATCACCACCACCCTCTTTTAGGCAACAAGCTTGGTGCATCATCCCCACCCTTGGTGTCCTCCATCAGTAGGACAGAGTGGAAGATTTGTGCTTGTCAGACACATACCTTCAACTTATCCTAACCGCAGATGTTAGGGGATGATCCCTGACACTGTTTTTCAAAAAAGTGTTTCTTTTACCTCTTCATAAAGTTCCCAACAATCACTATTGTATGAGCTAGTTTTAAAAGCATTTGGAGATTTCTAAGAAGTTTTAATTGATAGGTTTCTATTTTATTTTCCTGGGAATATTTTAAGAAATATTTCATTTGTCTGAAGTTATACAATAACTTAAAGAGCTTATGAAAATAGGGACTTTCCTGGTAGTCCAGTGGCTAAGACTCTGTGTTCCTAATGCAGGGGCCCTGGGTTCAATCCCTGGTCAGGGATTAGATCCCACATGCTGCAACTAAGAATTCACATGCCACCACTAAAGAGTTTGCATGAGGCAACAAAGATCGAAGATCCTCTGTGCCACAATTAATACCCAGTGCAACTAAATAAATAAGTAAATTTAAAAAAATAAGTATTTTTAAAGAGTTTATGAAAATAGAGTATATATCAAAAGTTATCAAACTGCAATTTAAATATGTGAAGTTGATTGTCAATCATATTTCAACAAAACTTTTTAAAAAGTCATTATAGAAATATTTGGAACTTCCCAGGTGGTGCTAGTGGTAAAGAACCTGCCTGCCAATGCATGAGACATGAGACTCGGGTTTGATCGCTGTGTCAGGAAGATCCCCTGGAGGAGGGTATGGCAACCCATTCCAGTATTCTTTCCTGGAGAATCCCATGGATAGAAGAGCCTGGCTGGCTATAGTCTATAGGGTCGCAGAGTTGGATACAACTGAAGCGACTTAGCACATAAAAATACTTAATATTCTACGTTAAAACTCTTATTTTTTTTTCAGAATTAGTAAACAAATTTCAGTTTCATGTGAGAATGTTTTTTCAGTTTTATAACACATTAGTATGTTATTTCTAGCAAAATGTATTTGTGATGTGATGCTTCTGTTGCTTTACCTAATTTTTAGCATGTTCACTGTTTTTTGTTTTGGGTCCTTTACAAATTTATTTTCCTGGTTAATGCATGTCAAATGTAAGGCTAGTTCATAAGCTCTATCACAGTAACCTCTTCAAGTACCCTCATTTCTCTTTTGTGGCTTTGAATAGTTTTGCTCATTTATGTTAAACTCTTTCTGCAAAGTGCTACCAAGTCAACATCCTAATCACTGCTTGTGAGAAATAAAGGTTTCAGCACTTATATTTGGCAGAATTTTTTTCAGCTTATTTTTTTCAGGTACTTTTGAATGTCATTTTCTATATTGTCATATGCTTATATTTCTACTATGCTTTTTCCAGTTCCTCAGCAGCATATCATCCTAAACTTTAATTTCTTCAATTAAAATTTTAAGCTTCAACATGTTTAAGGCTGTTTATATAATTCCATGTAATAAAAATAGCTGTATCATGTAAATATAGTTGTTTTTAAAGTTCTGATAATTTTATAAAATGATCACTTAGTGAACTGAATTTTGGCAAGTGAGCTCACTCCAGCCCACCCTTTCTTTTTATGAATGGTGCTTTCCTAGGGAAGTGGAGAAGTCATTCCTTCAGATGTAGAACTGCTTTGGTCCAGGTAGTTCATGGTCATGGGACTGGGTTATAGAAGCAGCAGGTCTGAACTTGACAAAAGCAGAAGAAACCCCAGCTAGCGAACTATCCTTTCCTGTACCTGTATCTCTCACTTGACTACTTTTTTTACTTGATTTCTGCGTTCTCCAAATTTGCTGCCTCCCTGATTTCTCAAGACTCTCTCTCTCCCTTCTGTTGTTGATTAGTGGCTAAGTCATGTCCAACTCTTTTGTGACCCCATGGACTGTAGCCCACCAGGCTCCTCTGTCCATGGGATTTCCCAGGCAAGAATACTGGAGAAGGTTGCAATTTCCTTGGGGATCTTCCCAGTCCAGGGATTGAAACTGTGTCCCCTACATTGCTGGCAGATTCTTTAGCACTGAGCCACCTGGGAAACCCCCTCTTTCTCCCTTACCTGCTTTTTATTCCAGGGACTGGCAATACCTGACTCAGGGCAACTTGTTAATAGAGGCTAAATAGCTAGTTAGGATCAATATAGCCTTAACCAGAATCAGAAGAGCTTATAGATTAAGGGTTAAACATCAGGAGTTAGTATGAAGTGAATCAACCTTGGTGACCCATCAGAGTGAAGGTAAGGATAAGATCTGAGTAGGAAGTAAACAGAGAAAAATCCAGGAATTCAGGTGGAGGGTCACAAGTCAATACAATACGTCCAAGGGAGTGAGACTGTAAAGCTCAAGAAAGATTTGAGAGTCAAAGTTAACTGTTATGGTTGTTGTTCAGTCACTCAGTTGTGTCCAACTCTTTGTGACTCCATGAACTGGAGCATGCCAGGCTTACCTGTCCTTCA